GCGGGGTGGGGCGCAGCGGACAGGCTCCCAGCGGGGCAGGGCACAGAGGGCAGGCTCCCAGCGGGGCGGGGCACAGAGGGCAGGCTCCCAGCGGGGCGGGGCACAGAGGGCAGGATCCCAGGGGGGTGGGGCGCAGGGGACAGGCTCCCAACGGGGTGGGGTGCAGGGGACAGGCTCCCAGCGGGGTGGGGCGCAGGGGACAGGCTCTCAGCAGGACAGTGACGTTGCTCAGCCGCCCAGTGCTGGAAAGCGCCTTGCCATATTTCTGTGAATTTACATTCTGGTCAACTGTTGAGAGGTTGTTTCCATTTTGTTTTGGTTTTTTAAGAATTCAGAAATCAATTAGTGTCGGCGCAGTGACTTATGACGCACATTCCACAGGCATTTCTGTTCAACTCGGCTTTTATTCACCTTATTAGGAGGCTCCTCACTACAGCGTCTGGCAACCGGCGGAGATGTCAGCCGGCCCTGGGGAGCAGAAGAGATTGCTGGAGATCCAGCCCAGGCGATGGGGCCATGGGACACAATGATAAAGTGCTTTCTCCAGAAGCACCACGTGTGCTGCGCCGGGAACGCGGTGGGGCCAGGGGAACACAGGGATGGGCGCGCCCATCTCCAGAACAGAAAAAGTCAAGGAAGCGAATTTCCCCAGCGACTGGAGCAGCAAGCGCATTGGCATCACCGAGGTGCTGCAGCCGCACTCCGTCATGCCAGCGGGAGCGCTGTGCAAACCAGGCCAGCCCTGCTGCATCACTTCCCGCCAGACCCTCCTGCCCATTTTAGCTTATCTCCATACGGGATATTAATCCCCAGGACAACTGCCCTGGCTTCTGGCTGCCGTTTGTGCACTAGGAAGAGGCACTGCCCCAGCACAGAGAGGCAAGGCCAGTGCTCCTAGCGCTCCTACCCAGCCAGACAGGCCTTTGCTTTGATCTCAATACAAGCGACTTGTTTGGTTTTGGTTTGTTTGTTTTTTACAGAATCGGTCGCTTCAAGTGGGATCATCCTGCCAACACCTGCTCTCTGGGGAAACCAGACTGGAAAGCTGGGATCCCGGAGCAGTTCCACGTGGCCAGACAGTGAGAACGGAGGCGCTGGTGTGTGGTGAAGCAGAGTTTCTCCCGAGGGCCAAGTAGAGCCGATTTCCTAGCCATAAGTGATTGTGTCCCGCAGGCAGTCCCAATCCAGGGCTCACTTCAGGAGCAGGCGGATTTTCCTATCGCCAATCAGGAGCCTTCAGGAGCAAAACAGGGAGAGATGAGCATGGGCAGCGTATGTACAGGGCCGGCTCTAGGATTTTTGCTGCTCAAAGCAAAAACAATTTTGGCTGCCCCACCCCGTTCCTTAATTACCCCACCCCTGGCCCCGCCTCAACTCCGCCCCTTCCCCAAATCCCCAGCCCTGCCTCCTCCCCCCAGGCTCTCAAGCCTGGGAGGGAGGGGGAGAAGCAGTGCCCGCGCCGCGGCCACTCAGAGTCTCCCCCTCCCTCCCAGGTTTGAGAGCCTGGAAGGGAGGGGGAGCAGCGGCGCGCGAAATGGCCGCTTGGGATCTCCCCCTCCCTCCCAGGCTTGAGAGCCTGGGAGGGAGGGCGAGTAGCGGCGCGCGAATCAGCTGTTTCGCGCGCCGTGGCAGCGGCAGCGGAGGTGAGCTCGGGGGGCCCGGGCACAGTTTTAGGGGGGGCGTTCTGGCGGCGGGACTGCTGG